ATTCGGTTTTGATACATTTGGTTAAGCAAAAAAACGAAAAGCGAGCTTGGTTCAACTCTTTCTGAATTATTTTCTTTACATATACAACGAAAGAAAAATACAAAGCAGCAAAAACTTTGTAAATTTACCATTAGTCTTTTCTATCGAGATTAATAGTCATACACTCGTCCTGCTCGTTATTCAACACAAATTACCAACAGCATGTTTAAACGTATCTCTATTCAACCCACAAACTTTTGAAAGTACATTTCGATCATGCTGAGCTACGTCAGGATCATTTTCTTCAATTGTAAACTTCGTAGAGATCAGTTTTTGCAGCGAGAGAAAAAATTATCATATCTAAATTCTATTAATTGTCAAACAAGTAGCAACAACAGCAATGATACAAATAAGGGCTTTTTATTTCCACATCATCATAAACAGTTTAAGACCATCGATTCCAAACAAATATCTTCTTTGTCATCATCTTCTACTATAGACCTAACAGTTGAAGCAGTTGCAAATACTATTTTACAAGTGTATTCTTATGCTAGCCATCTTGTATGTGACTTGAATATGTATCAACCGCATCAAATTTCATCATTCGAAAAAATGACAAAATTGGCTATCGTTCAACTTCAAAAATCAAAAATAGTCGATTATTCACATCTTAACGAACCCGACTCAGACTTTAACTCAGATTCAGATGACAGCAGCTGTGAAGGAGTGGATACTGCCGAAAATTACGCCGATAATGAAGATTCAACCGATGGCGGCGATGACGAAGATCATCTATCTGATCATCTTTGCAATCTTAGTTCGACTACTTCTCAAGGAATGCGAGTTTTTGATTCTATTAATCCAACGTTGGCTAAGTGGTGCTTTATCGTCAACATTAATGGTACAAAAGAATATTTACATAAACAGACAGCTGCTTGACTTCTTTCAAATGACAAGTCTACTTTGTCTTCAGATCGTTTAAAACGTGTTATGACTAACAAATAAAAATATATTTTCATTCGAGTTCTTCATATTCGAATCTCTTCTTGTCTTTTCCAAGTGTTAAATAAATTTTTGGAAGGTAATGTTAGCGAACATCAGAGATTTAATCTGCTTTTATTTTCCTCACTGAAAATATGACAGCAGTTTATTTCGTTTCTTTTTCATTTGTATATTCAAGTTTTGTATCAAAATTTACATGTAGAGTCACAGTATTTTCCTGTTGTTCAGCCATAATAATATTATATTGGTCGAAAAAGAACTCGGACTGATGTTTTCTCGATATAAAAGAAAGTGGATAATCACTGTCAATCAAGTCAATCTCGTAAATCAAAAATTCAGTTTTTTCCCCCTTGCTTTAGGACCAAATCAATAGTTTCGTGGGTTGATGTACATGGAACGAGTTCTATCTTTGCAGAGTAGTGAAGAGGAGAGGGAATTATGTGGTATGCCAAGGATTATAAACGACCACGAAGTGCGAAGCCTTTTAAATTGATACTTTGAGAAGTCTCGAGAGAAGTGCTGTTGAATTCGATGAGTCTAGCAAGGATTTCAAGTATTTCAAGGCATGAAGCAATATTTGGTTTGGAGATTATTGAAACAGATTATGTATTTTCTCAGAATTCAAGAGCTCTATGACATGCCGGAGTGACAATCATCGCAAAGCGATATCTCCGAAAAATAGTTGTATAAAGCCTATCAGACTCTTGAAGATAATGAAGGATTCCAACTTTTACAAGACATTCAACTATGTTTGGTGTTTAGAATGATAAGGTGCATAGTGTATTACAACTGGTTACAACTATTGGACAAGATCTTGAAGTTGGAAGTACCGTGTTTCGTATGTTCGGGAAAATGGCTTATAGAGATTCTAAGTAGTCAGAACTAGAGGAGAGATATCAATGACTTATCTAGGGAATAAGGAATATCATTGTCGATTCTATAGGATGATGATGATTTGCAACGTTCTAGCAGCATGAACTTTTGGAAAGTTAGATAGATGAAAACCTCATCTGTGTTCTGTCGGGATCGATGACTGAATCGACGGTGCGGAGGTTTCTAGGGCATCGAGTTGTGTGTTTTCTTGAGCAAAATTAAGTGCATGTTGCATCAAGTTTGCTTTCAAGGAATGATCGAGATCAAACATTTAGAAGACTTGGATTTCATGACTCGACGATGATTGTTTTAACGATTCCTCTTAAGCGATTACAGATTAGTCGTTAGGAAGAGTTGTAGAGTGAAAAAATTGTTTTATTGGCAAAATTTTGATGATAATGTTCCATATTCTGATTTGAGAAGGTTTACTTGAAATTAGATCATGTGAAAGTTGAAAGTTTGTGGAAATGGTTTATCGCGTTCTGTACATCTTTATATTATGTCTTATTCTGTTGGTCTTAAGTTTTCGAAAACTTCAAAAAGTTTTGAATCATCGTGATCAATGCATCTTTATCAATGATGTATTTTTGTTTTTCGGAAGAATCGCATTGAAAGAAAGGTGTGGGTTTAAAATTTTGCCATTTCAAAAATCATCATGAGATATGATCTTTATAATGATTAGTTTTCCCGCCGGATTATCATTATATAAGGTAAGTGTGATCATTGGCTTTATCAACAGTTATAACTATACTTTGACTAGTATTTGTGAATGCTTAAATAAAGATTGTATGTCTTATTGTACAAGAAGGAAGGAAGAAATTCCCGTACCGTTGCCAGTGTAGGGTGAAGATCAAAAATATAGAAATACGACTGCAATTGGGATATTCATTCGATTTCTTTGTTTGTTGGTGGTGCCATCGTTGAAGTTGGATTTGGTTCAGTTGTTACGGTCTT